TTTTGATTGGCTGCATCACTGCTTGATATGGCAATTACTTGGCATCCGACGGCAAAGCGCTACAGAGGGTATTGCGTACGGCCCAGTACATCACTGGAGCTGAGGTCCCTGCCATTCAGGATCTCTATACTAGGCAGTGTCAGAGGAAGGCCCTAAAAATTGCCAAAGAATACAGCCAAGTCATAGACTATTCTCTCTGCTACCGCACGGCAAGTGGTACCAATGCACCAAGTCTGGAACCAACAGGACCATGAACAGCTTCTTCCCCCAAGCCATAAGACTGCTAAATAGTTAACCAAATAGCTACCCGGACTATCTGCATTGACCCCCATTTGCACTAACTCTTTTGACTCATCACATACGCTGCTGTTACTGTTTATTATCTATCCTGTTGCCTAGTCACTTTACCCCTACCCATATCTACATATCTACCTCAATTACCTAGGAGTCCTGCATATCGACTCGGTACTGGTACCCCGTGTATATAGCCAAGTTACTCATTTCTTGTGTTATTATCTTTCTATTATTTTTCTATTTTTCATTTCTGCATTGTTGGGAAGGGCCCGTAAGTAAGCATTTCACTGTTAGCCTACACCTGTTTTTTACAAAGCATGTCACAAATATACTGTTATTCGATTGTGTGTGTGTGTGTGTGTGTGTGTGTGTGTGTGTATTTCAGTGTGGTCTAAGACATGTTAACTAGTACCCCTGCATGTTAGCTAACAGTGTTTTGACAGAGCTGCCCTCCATGGATGTCTCTCCCTCCTTCTCTGACCTCTTGACATATTGACCTGTGAACTCTGAGGGCAGGGAGACCACACCCTCACCAGCCTGCCTGGCTAAGGGGGAAGTTGCCCTTAGACACAGATCTAGGATCAGCTCACCCTTCACAAATACTAAAGATAAGCATTAGGGGGATGAAGGCAAAACTGATGTTAGATCAGTGTCTAGTGGCAGCTTTATCCTTCTCCGCCTGACTTCCCTATAGGCTATCACCCTCCACTTCACGACTCTATTAATGCCTTTGACAAAATAACCATATTCTGACTTCTATTTGTGTGTGTGTGTGTGTGTGTGTGTGTGTGTTTGTGTGTGTGTGCGTGCGTGTGCTTGTATGTGTGTGTTTGCACGTGTGTACGTGTGTGTGTGTGTTTGCGCATGTTTGTGTGTGTGCGTGTGTGTTTGTGTGTGTAGGGAGAAGACTCCAAGTCAGTGTCGGAGGCAGATTTATCCTCGAGGAGTATGGAGGACGTGAACGGCAGCAGAAAGGATGTGTCTGGCTCCCCGAGTGAGACACACACATGCGTACCAGGGTCTCCGTTAGCTGGTAATTGTTGGCTTTTGGCAAAAAAAGCAAGAAAAAAAAAGCCGATAAATAAAATAATTGACGGCCCAATTGAATAGGAGAAAAACAAAAACAATCCCATTGCAAAATAATGTTTTTTATTCATTGATGGAAATGCCAGTCGATGCTTATCGGTCTATAGGTTAATTTGCATAATTTGGTGTAATTAAATTGCTGCATATGTATTTTTGTTAGTCGTCATGTATCTTATTTAGCACGTGCACAGCATACACAGCCAATTTTGAGCGGAATATCACCTCAGCACTAGAGCTGCTGCTGGAGTGAAACATGCCCAGTCATTGTACAACAATTCTAAATGCTATCGCATGTTGAAAACAGTTTTGATGGCCACGATTAAAAATAGCTACTATTTTATTTCTCAACTGGTAATTGAAGCGCGCCTTCACCATTCAAATGCATAGGCAATGGTAGGCAGGCTATCAGCGTGTCACCTACCACAATGTGAGCTGGAGGCAGTATTCATTTTGAAAACTGATACTTAATTGTTTGAAACCTGAACGTAGTTCTTCATATTATGAGGCATGTATTACCTTGCTTCAAAGTAGCCTAGGCAAAATCTGACCATTGAAACGTGGAGGCAATTATTTCATAAAGACTTCCTCATATGCCATTGAAACCAACATTTATCTCATGTTCTGTTGGTTTTCATATCAACTTTCTTTCGTTGACCAGAAGCAAAAGGCACAATCATATTAGCAAACTATCCTAGTTGTTGCATCTTTAGATTCCCCCTCTTTCTATGTTTCTAATGGAGATTTTAATCCAGGGGCGTCAATTGGGAATGGCAGCTACACTATATATACAAAAGTATGTGGACACCCCTTCAAATTAGTGGATTCGGCAATTTCAGCCACACCCGTTGCTGACAGGTGTATAAATCGAGCACATAGCCATGCAATCTCCATTGACAAACATTGATAGTAGAATGGCCTTACGGATGAGCTCAGTGACTTTCAACGTGGCACCGTCATAGAATGCCACCTTTCCAACAAGTCAGTTCGTCAAATTTTTGCCCTGCTAGAGCTGCCCCGGTCAACTTTAAGTACTGTTATTGTGAAGTGGAACATCTAGGAGCAACAACGGCTCAGCCACGAAGTGGTAGACCACACAAACTCACAGAACGGGGCCGCCGAGTTCTGAAGCACGTAGTGTGTAAAAATCGTCTGTCCTCGGTTGCAACACTCACTACAGAGTTCCAAACTGCCTCTGGAAGCAACGTCAGCACAACAAGAACTGTTAGTTGGGAACTTGATGAAATGGGTTTCCATGGCCGAGCAGCCGCACACAAGCCTAAGATCACCATGCGTAATGCCAAACGTTGGCTGGAATGGTGTAAAGCTCGCAGCCATTGGACTCTGGAGCAGTGGAAACTCGTTCTCTGGAGTGATGAATCACGCTTCACCATCCGGCAGTCCGACGGACTAATCTGGGTTTTGGCGGATGCCAGGAGAAGGCTACCAGCCCCAGTGCATAGTGCCAACTGTAAAGTTTGGTGGAAGAGGAATAATGGTCTGGGCCTGTTTTTCATGGTTCGGGCTAGGCCCCTTAGTTCCAGTGAAGGGAAATCTTAATGCTACAGCATACGATGACATTCTAGATGATTCTGTGCTTCCAACTTTGTGGCAACAGTTTGGGGAAGGCCCTTTCTTGTTACAGCATGACAATGCCCCTGTGCACAAAGCGAGGACCATAGAGAAATTGTTTGTCGAGATCGGTGTGGAAGAACTTGACTGGCCCGCACAGAGCCCTGACCTCAACCCCATCGACCACCTTTGGGATGAATTGGAATGCCGACTGCGAGCCAGGCCTAATCGCCCAACATCAGTGCCCAACCTCACTAATGCTCTCCATATTAATGGCCATGATTTTGGAATGAAATGTTCGACGAGCAGGTGTCCACATACTTTGGTCATGTAGTGTAGCTCAACACCAACAATTTATATATGCTTTAATTCTATGAAAATTCCTTACAGGAATTGGAACCGCTCGCATCAGGTGGACTGTTTAGAATGGTGTTTTCCCGCAAATAGATTTTGGCAAATGTTTGAAAATGATGTTTTGTTGGCTGTTTCATTACAGGAGTTGCATGTTCTGTTAAGATGAATAACTATAATCGAAATGTGTTTTCTGTCATTCTGAGCACCGTGGGTGGGTGCCCTAATGGGTTAAGCACCCAATGAATATGAGTCCGTTAAATTTCTCAAATGGCCAGTAAATTAAAATCTTCCCGGCCCGCCAGTCCGGCGCCACATTTTCCTAATGGAAACCCTGATGCACACATGCACCCTGATGCGCACACTCACACACACACACACACACACACACACACACACACACACACACATACACACACACACACACACACACACACACACTACACACCACACACATCACACATACACACACACACACGACACTTCCACCACGACACCACATACACAACACACACGGGTACATTTAATTGCACTTCTACACATGTCAGCATTATTAATTGTATATTCATTTAGCTGTGATTACTTTGTGTTTCCAGAGGATACAGATAAATATGTATTTATGAGTTGAGGCAGTATGCTATACTAATTAGGATGTAGTAAAAAAAAAACTTCACAAATATCCCAACAGATTCCATACAGTTTACTGTATATTAAATCATGATTAAAGTCCCTGTCCGGAGAGATTTACGTTATAAATGTAACGCCGTAAGCCACACGACACAGCCCTTATTAAGTTCACCTTGTGAAAATGATGGGAAAAACAATTGGAACAATTTCCCTGTTTGACTGCTAGGTTTTATGGGTATTATGACACATCCACTGTAGGGCTGTATTCTCCGTTGACAAGTGGGCCACATTGGGTGGGCACATGCCTAGCATTTTTGTCTTACTCACATCCAGTCACACACACACACGCATAAAGCAGCAGCAAACCACACAGCGTCATTCTGCTACAGAGCTATCTTAAGAGACCAAAATTATTCCTGCTGCTGTATCTTCGTCAGTTTTAGTAACTCATTTCACAGACACATATTTCCATATGGAAACATACTACAGGGGAGAACAATTCCCCAACACTAAGATAAATGAAATGTAGCGGTTCGAAGAGTTGTTTAAGCACAGTAACTGGATAGTTAGGGAGAGAGGAGAGAGGAAGAAGGGACAGGATGAATCCAAGAGAGCGAGAGAGAAACAGAGGGAGGGAAGAGATGGAGAGGGTGAGAGAGAGAGTGAGAGAGAGGAAGAAAGTGAGGGAGGGAGGGATACGACACACACCAACTGAGATTAAAGATACATGCGTCCTCTCCATGTCACGCCTTCATCTGGCTGTTGAACATAATATTCCCCCCATGCACACATCTCGTCAGATTAGAGATAGCATGAAATATTGATGTGGTCGAGAACAGTGAGACATCCATATTTAACCTTCTTACTTTAAAGATACCCTTATAACTGGCTCTTCCCCTCCCCCTTCTCTCTCCCTCCCATGTTCCCCCCTAATTTTACTACCTCATCTTTCTCTACCTCTCTCTTTTTTTGTCCATCATCGTTTAACCATTCCCCTTCCTCCTCTCCCTCCCTCCTTCCTCTGTCTCTCCCTCTCTGCTCCCACTTTCCCTCTCCCCCTTCCCCCTCCAGTAGTCCCTATAAACGGTCATGTTGACCTGAAGACCAGTCTGACCCCTCCTCTGATTACCCATACTGCTGCCACCCCCATGCCCGTGCCCAAGCTGCCCGCTGTGGGTGACCCTGCCCTGGGCTACGAGTCCCGACGCGGCAGCAATGTCTCCATGGACCTAACCTCTTACGACAAGTCTCCGGTTAGTATACTGTAGTACTACACTATTACACTATTACACTATCAAACTACTGTGTCCTCCCAGCGGCTGGAACCCATGTATTAGGCTCTTTGCCCTCTCTCTGCCCCTAGAACAACTAAGACTGTAGATATTCAGACTAATCCAGGGATGGGCAACTGGCGGCCCCCCTTTTGAAGGCCCTAGAATCAATTTCCCCCTCATGATTAGTTTTTGTTTTTGTTTTTTGGGGCCCAACCCCCATCAAAGTTGTCCATCCCTGGTCTAACCTGTCTGGATGATATTCAATGTGACAGCTATGATGATTAATGATGATTAATATGACCTGTCATCAGCTTAACTCTCTGGGCACTTACTGATGCCGTAGCCAAACCCACTGTGCCATAGCTACACTTACTGTTGGCAGTTATGACTGATGCCAGCCACATTGATAACTGGTGCCAGCTATAGTAATGACCACTGAGCATTGAGGATAATCTGATAATTAAGGCAAAAACCTGTAGTAACAACATCTAAAGTTCCATATACTGTAGTTTTCCATATACTAAAGTTGCCCAAATGTTACAAAGGTTCCCTAAAAAGGGGATTTTGTTCACTTATTTTTTGTGTTCATACCTTCTCTCTTTCTCTCCCCTCTCCCCCATCCATCTCGCTCTCTCTCCAGACCAGTGCCCGTAGCACCTCCCCTTACGCCCCATGGAGCTCTGCCAGTGGCTGGACCAGCCGTCGATCAAGCTGGAACAGCTTAGGCCGTGCCCCCTCGCTCAAACGAACAAAGCTTCAATCTGGCGAACGGCGGTCGCTCCTCTCCGGAGAGAGAGGGTCCAGTTCGGAGGATGAGGAGGGGGGAGGAGGGGGGACATCGGAGGGGGACGATGTGTCCCTGTGTCGTACTGACTCCATGTCCCAGTCCCAGCCCAGACACAGGAGGATGGAGTCTGTGGAGACCAGGGGGTCCATAGACCTGGCCCCCGACACACTGCTACAGGTGAACACACACTCACACACACACACCTGGGGATCTAGAGACTGGCCCCCCTAAACACTGCTACATGTGCTCTAATTTTGTTGTGATCATATAGGTAGTCCATTTTAGGAAGTTGTCACTGGATAGAACAGCTTTCTTCAGTGTTTTAAAATGCCTTCAAGTACCTATGAATGACTGTGTTAACCATGTTTGTAAAACTCTAGGTGCCCTACCTGTATCGCTCAGCCAGTATGCACAGCTCCAGACCCCCCTCGCTAGGAGGTCTGAGAGCCCAAGAACACAGTGACTGTAATGGGAAGGGTACTTCGACCCCTGGCGGGGCCCTGGCCCATACACAGCTCTCCCTGGAGGACAACACAGAGGACGACGCGGCAGAGGAGGAGGTGGTTGTGGGTCCTTTTGCCAGGCTGTTACGCTGGCTGGACAGGAAACAGCCAGAGTGGTGTCGACAGAGAGATACCTGGTCCCTGTACATATTACCCCCAGACTCCAGGTTAGACACACACGCACATGCACCCATGCACGCATACACACACATACACTGATGAAAGTGATATAATTACAGAATGTGCTCATCCTTACCCATCTGTGCATGCATGTCTAACAGTACCCTTGCTGTGCCCCAGTTGCAGTGGGCAGTAGGGTTTGTCCTGTTCTATGGGTGATATTGAGGACGCAGGCACTGTGTTGTGTCCATTCTGGCTCTCTACAGAGTCAGGTAGCAGGGTTTGGCCTGTGTTGAGAGTGACAAAGAGGACAAAGACTCTGTGTGGCGTCCGTTTTGGCTCTATACAGAGCCAGACACCTACATGTGCTCAGGAGACAGAAGCATACAAGCTAATAACGTTTCAAAGAAGTCAAAATGGTATAATGGGAGTTCACATCAAAATAAACTCATGTGGACGGTAGCAAACTCTGACAGTCCAAAGATCACAGATGTCAGGAACTGCATACTAGCAAAAGGTCATGGCTATGATGAACATGTGAGACATTTAGACAGATTATTTTTATTCATTAATAATCGAGCAATCAAATAAGTTATTATCTGACGGGCGCAGTGTGTGTGTGTGTGTGTGTGTGGGTGTGTGTGTGTGTGTGTGGGTGTGTGTGTGTGTGTGTGTGTGTGTGTGTGTGTGTGTGTGTGTGTGTGTGTGCGCACGCCTGCCTGTCTCCCCGTCTCACCCTAACATGGAGGATCTAGAACAGACAATCATCATATTGTGGGAGTTAGCATGACATCCCTGGCCCACATGTTGAATGATACATGATGAATACTTTAGCAATGAGAGCTAGCATGCAGAGATGAGAGGAATTAACTCATCCAGTGTGTATAGATAATGATGGGTGTAGTCAGACGTGGAAACACATACTCACACACCCACAGTCTTGTTTAACTAACCTTGTGGGGACACACAATTTATGACCATTCAACATCCTATTTTTTCCCTAACCCCTAAACCTAAATCTTACCGTAACCCTAACCTTAACCCTAAAACTAACCCTAAACCTAATTCTAACCATAACACTAATTCTACCTTAACCCTAAACCCCCTAGAAATAGCATTTGACCTTGTGGGGACTAACAAAATGTCCCCAGTTGGTCAGATATTTGTTTGTTTACTATTCTTGTGGGGACCACACACACACACACACACAAACACATACACACACACACACTGTCTGTCATCGTAATGATAGTTTTACTGAAGATGGAACAGAATACCGATCTAAGGGACACACTATTGTTCCCTTCTGTACATTATGACAGACATGCTCCATCAGAGTGGGTTTGATGCATGGATTCATTATTTTACTCCTCCCTCTATGTCTTCCCTCTTTCTTTACTTGTCTTTTTATCTCCTCTATTCATTTCCCTTCTCCTTTCTTTCCATTTGAAGTTATGGCCGTTTCTTGTCGGTTAATTACCACTTCAGCTGTGGTTCATAATTTAATTACTATGGATGAGGAAAGGGCTTGGATTTAATGTGGATATATCATCCTTATCTTTGAGTGTGCGGCAGGTAGCCTACCAATTAGAGCGTTGGGCCATTAACCGAATGTTCGCTAGTTTGAATCTTCTTTCCTACAAGGCTAAACGTCTGCCTGTGTGCCCTTGAGCAAGGCACTTAACCCTAATTGCTCCAGGGTCGCTGTTGATAATGGCAGACCCACTCTCCGAGGGTGTCTCAGGGGGAGTTGGGAATATGCAAATAACACATTTCCAGTACATGTAGGAAATAGGACAGATATAAGCACCCACCTATTTATTTCATGTGCAATATGCATAGAATAAAAGGGTGGTTATCTGAATAATGTTATATACACTGTGATGTTGTATTTTGCTCATGCTCAACATCACTCATCATATGTTTTCCAATTATCTTAATGTTTATTCTATGAATGATAAATTGTATGTGTGTGTTGTCCAGGTTTCGGATGGCGTGCAATAAGATAATAACCCACAAGATGTTTGACCACATCGTTCTGGTCATCATCTTCCTCAACTGCATCACCATCGCCATGGAGAGGCCGAGGATAGACCCATACAGCGTGGTGAGTGACCCACACACACACACACATCACCTGGCATGCATGCAGACACACACACACAGGTAGACACACACACACACTCACAATATTCACAATATACCTGGCTCTCTTCCTTACCCCATCTGTTATACTGTCCAACCCAAAGCCCTTTGATAATTATAGCTGCAACATCATCCAGCCTTATGCAGAACAGGAATAAACACACTAATTACCACGGTTTGATATTCTCGCTGATGTAGCAAGCACTCCTGTGCCCCGTAATAATTGCTGTCCAGTCTCTGTGGGACTCCAGCTGTAGCGGCCTTGTTTTCTGTCTTTAACACAGATATGAGCGCGGTTGTGGTAATTGATTCAATTATCTCCCTGCCTGCTGGTCTATTCTGTATGGGGGTAATGCTGGGGAAAATACATGTTTAACTAATGTGGATAAAGCCCTCAAGGTTTATTGTGGGAGGATGAAATGAGTGTGAGGATGAAATGAGGGAGAACAGGAGAAAAAAAGGAAACGACAGGATATCTAGCGGATATCTGAAACACTCACAGACACACACACCCACCCACACACACACACACACACACACACACACACACACACACACACACACACACACACACACACACTTACTCACTCTCTCACACACATGCACAATCACTTTCACATACACAGACTGTCACACATGTACACCCACTTGGCACACACAAACCACACACAACTCTAATCAGGGGAAAACATTAAGATGCACATTTTGTGCTGCAGCTCTAATTCCCAGCACCTGTAATGAGGTGATTATTGAAATTGGATGGAAATGTGTATGGAGATTGGGTTGCCTGGCAGTGACCTCCCCACAGTAGCTAGCAGGCCACACACTCAGTAAGGACACCACACATGCATACGCACACACACACACATATACACACACATACAGAAAGCGCTGAACAGTGAATATGAGTATAGCTTTAGCCTCGTAGCTGCATTACCTAATGTTATTTTGCCTCCATCTTATTGGCCTGGGTTATTACTGAGTCTGATTGGTTTTTGCAGGTGTTTATATATATTGTTTGTGGTTTAGAATTAATAGGCTTGATTGTGAGTTGCATTCGCTAGAGATGTGTTATTACGAACAAACGCAGTTGAGGTTATTGCTTTTGCTGCATACATACAATTTACTTACTGTAGCCTTCCATAGGCTCTTTTTTTGCAATTTCACCTGTCTGTAAAGCAGATGAAGTAAGACCTTGAGCCATTTACTCTGAAGTAGATAACTTATTTGTTTCTAATGAGGCTTGATTGGGAGTTGTGTTTGTTAGAGACTCTTTCACAGTAGATTACTAATAAATACGGTGGAGTTTATTGCTTTTGCTGCATATATACAGTACATACTTCCACAGGAGCTAACAGATGTAGAATCTTAATTTGATCACCCTGTTGTTTCAGGAAATTTCCTGAACAGCAGGAAATATAAACGTAGTGTATTCAAGGCTTAAAAAGGCTTCTAAAGTTTGTAATTTCCACAGACTTGATTTGCCCTAACTAAAAATGTATCAACCCCTACAAAAATGTCCAATAATTATAATCCACTAAATAATTCACATTTCCTGTTGCTGCAGGATTATTTTCCTGCTGTGAGAAACTGGTCAAATTAAGATCCTATATCTGTATTTCACCTGTGCCATTTACACAGCAGTAAATAACAATTAGTTTCTCTTATGCATTTGAAGAAAAATACATTTCCCTTTTGGTTATAATTACATTTATTGTGGAATGTTGGGTGAATAATTGGTTTAGTGTCTAGAAAGTTGTTCCCCAGCTTGGTACCACGTTTCATAACGTGGATGTCAGGCTTTAATGGTTTAACACCACCGAAAACAACAGTTGCTTAGTTACTGGTCTGTGGTTCATGAAATGAATTCATGGTAGAACAGACATTTATTCAATGCTTCATCTTTAGGAGTTATTATGAGGTTGACTGGCCTGGAAAATAACCAATAATGTCGACACCTGTTTTTTCATAACTGATTGTATATTGAGGCATGCAATATAGGAAAGGAGAGAAGAGGAGAAGGACAAGAAGGAGAGGAGAAAGAAGGAGAGGAGGAGAGGAGATCTAAACTAAACATATGTGGAAGTCAGTTGGTGTCTGTGACAGGAAACAAGCCACATCAGAAGAAAGAGGGAGATGCTTTACTCTCTTTAGGAGCTCTCTGTGTTGGTCACTGTCTTTTGGAATCTCCTCCCTTTCTATTTTTATTTCACTCTCACTCACTGTCAGAATATATTCAGCAAAGTTAATCCTAAACTACTTTAGAGACGACTCCGGCGTGTATTTTTAGTATCTTGTCATTACTCACTTTGCTCTCTCTTCGCTTCTTCTCTCTCTTCTCAATCTTTCTCTCTCTCGCTGTCTCTCTCTCTCTCTCTCTCTCTCTCTCTATTCTCTCTCTCTCTCTATCTCTCTCTCTCTCTCGGGGAGAGAACTCATCTCTCCTCGGAAGGGAGAGAGTTCTCTCTGTCTCTCTCTCTCTCTCTCTCTCTCTATCATCCTCTCTCTCTCTCTCTCTCTCTCTCTTCTCTCTCGTCTCTTCTCTCTGTCTCTCTCTCACTCTAGCTCTCTTTTCTATTCCCCTGCTCCCTCCATTCACGAGTCTGTTCGTTTATAATGAATGAAAGTATGAAAAACACATGGTCACAGAGGATAGGAATGACCGGTGTCGGCCCCGGATTTCTTAAACAATTTTAAAACAGGCCGTTCCCCCGTGACTGTTCACCACAAATATTCCCAGAGACTTTAAGAATGTTTTATAACGTTGCGACAGAAGTGGCTTGAGGAGATGTACGGGAGGGCGTGGGAATGAAAGTCCACACACGCACGCACACACACACACACACACACACACATGTGGGCTGGTTTTGCAGCGTTTGCATTGAGTGCACCACCACAATACTCATAACTGTGCCAAAAAGGAGTGTGTTTATATAACGTGTGTGTGTGTGTATGTGTGTGTGTGTGTGTGTGTATGTTGGGTAAATAAGCAGTCAGTCCGTGGGTCTGTACATTCCAGCTGCACTGCTTGGTTTCTTTCCTGAGCCCTTGTTTAGATTCCCAAAACAGTTTCT